TTTTACCGTGTCCGATTAGATTTTAAAACCCACAATGTGCAGGCACATGATAACATCATTCTTAACATTAGATTTCAATGCAGTATTTAAATCTGCTTTAAATATCAATTTATATGTAATGGATCCTTCTACCAAGAGGGGAACCAAACTTGAAAAACTTGGAGTATTGTAAGTAGAAATCTGTGAAAATAATTCTATTTGCTTAACTTTCCTACATGTAAAAACTAGGCTATTGCTTAAAATAATGTCATAAGACTTGTCTTTTTCAATCTGCATGATCTGTGTTTAAACAGAAACTTTCTTGTTAATTAAAATCTCCTTTAAAACATGTTAAATGAGACCTGCTGTGCAAAAATATCAAGCATAACAAGAAATACTGTCCTGTTCAAGTCATATTTATCTTGCTTAAAATTTACACTGTGCCACCATTACAAATACTTCAGTTTCAGTTTTGCCAAGTTAACCAAGTTGTCCGTTTGGGTATTGGAAGGATACTCCAGTAGGCAAGTTCTTTTTTTTTTCTTGAAATAGATAATAAATGCTAAATAGTATGAAATTATGGACATCTATATCTACATGTATAAGTTTTAATTAGAGTTGGCATAGGGTTTACAGAATAAGAATAACTGACAAAATGTGCCCAAATAATTGCTAAAAATATTAAGAATAGAAAAAAATAAGCCAAATTTTTAATAGAGAATAATGTGGTGCTATAATATAAAGAATACTTAGAGCATAAAATGCAAAATTTTTAAAGAATAAGATAAAAAAAATTAAAATAATACAATTAAAGGTTTCCCCATCCAGACTCGTTGATACAACAGTTAAATAAAATCTACTAGAACTCTAGAAAATAATATTGTCACTAAAATCAAATTCTTATCAAGGCAGTCATGTTTAACCATGCATTCCAAATGATTTAAAAATGTTTACAAATTTTATACCTTTTAAATGCTACTCAAAAACTCGTACTCCCAAAACCTATTGATAACTGGTCTATGTACATGTTGGAAAATAACAAACCTATTTGTATGAGCTTAAGAGACCTTTTAGCATCATCATGATCATAGTAATGTGATGCTATATTTCTGAATATGATGCTATCTGAATTGATTTTCTTATAGATTGTGTTATGGATGTGATGCTATAAATTTTTAGACATATGATGGTATTTCAAATTTCCATTTTTACCAGGATGCTATATGAAATATCTGGAGAGAACACTGCTTTAGTTTCTCATTTGAATTGTTTTACATTAGTCATTTTGGCGCCTTCAATAGTCTACTAGTCTATGCAGTATGGGCTTTGCTCAATGTTGAAGGTCGTACAGTGACTTATCATTGGCAATCATACCACATCTTCTCTTGTATGTGTATATATTGTTTTTACCCTGCAATTAATATACAGCACTTGAAGCCTTTTTTTTTAAATCTTAATTATTGTCTCTGATTTTTGGAAAAAAAACAACATTGTTTACTAGTAAACACAAGACCACAAAGAAAACTCCACAATGAACTGTACACAAATAAGAAAATATAAATGTTATAACGCCACTTACAGTACACATTACACTCATGGTACACACACTTCTGAATAAGCATTATTATGCAATGAATTACTGTTTGATATTGACATTTAAAAATTTTGGCAACAACTGTCTGAACTGAATGCATGTTTGCTTTCGTAGTTGAAAGTTGTGAGATGCAAATTTTGTCAAACTAGTTTTATCCTTTTGCTGGTGGTTCACTCTGCATTTAGAAGGTCACTTTACTATTCATTTGAAGTTATTTTAAAAACAAAATGTATAGACATACATGAATTATCTCAACAGCTTTGTTTTTGATAATTTGTATGTGACCTTCCTTCCAGGCTTGTGACTGGCAAGATGTTACACAATCTTGGCTGCATTACCCACCCACCACCGCATTGCAAAATTTCAGTCCAATAGGAGAAATTAATAATTTAAAAAAAAAACAATTGCTGTGTAATGATAACTTTTAACAATTTTTAATTAGTTGAGTTTTCCGAATTTTTTTTAGATGAACTTTTCAGTTTATAACTAAATTTTCTAAACTGAAATGGACCTGATACATGTATACGTTGTTCAATATTAATTGATTTTTTAATTTATGAGTATATTCTGCTGGGAGTGATGAAAAAAAGCTTGTAAATTTATTTAAAAGAAGTTATAATTGCTTTTCCAAACTATACATGTATTAAAATGCTTCAAAATCATATACTTTTTCAGTTTCATTTAATATCAGAATTTCCTGAAGGTGCTGGTTTTGGACTGATTAAATTATGCAATACAAAATATGGCATGAAATGAATCGGGGAGAATTTTACACAGCAAGAAAACCCTTAAATGCCATTTACTTCTTCTTTGAAACAACTGTTTGTTTTACTTCTTCTTTGAAACCACTGTTTTTATTACACCTTCTTTGACACCAGTACACCTTCTTTGAAACAAAGCAAATTTTAATTGCAATTTAAATGAAAATTGTTGATATTGTTGTTATAATGCCGGTCATTATAATTTTAATGTTGGCCCTTTTTGCAATTTCTGGTACTTAAACTACTTTGAATTATTTTATTAATTTTTTCATCTTTTATTTCTTAAATTTTACTCTTTGAATGAAGAATGTTTAATGCACACAAAAACAGTGTACAAAACTTTAACATGTCTAAACATTATCAATGATTATAGACATTACCATTTTATATAAAAAAACTAGAAATTTAGCAGAATATTTATAAAATCCTAGATGAGAAGCTAAAACACTTGTCATAATTATTTCAAAACGGTACAGATCATAATAAATCACATGACCAACCCTATGGCCAACCTACCATGATACTGTTTCTTATACACATTTTAGATGACCAGATATTTTAACCATCACCTGGATACCTAAAATTAAGATTAACATTACTTTTTTTTATAAAAGGGAAAATAATTATAATTACCATAATGATTACAGTACATGTCAGTGTGACATTATTGAGTCAAGTCATATCCATTAATTGTTGTCTGTGTCAAATCCAGTGAATTGCTGTGTCATATCCGGTAAATTATGTTGTCATATCCCAGGGGTGTCTTTGGAATATGGGTATAGCGTAGAAAAACCCATACTGACCCTCAATTCTTTCAGAACACTGTCAATGACCGTTTAGTATTATTTAAAGATTGAAAGGTATAGCGCGGAACAACCACACTGACCTTGCGTATACTAGTAGTATATCAGATCGTTGAAGGAAAGACTCTTAAATTCAGATTTTGTCTTGTCCCGTTGAATGGATGTACTTATCCTGTGGGTTGAACTTCAAATTTCCACACCCCTGGGATTATCGAGTAAATCATTGTCTTATCCAGTATATTTTTAAGTCATATTAGGTAAATTTCTGTCATATCCTGACAGTGGTATCATCCTGATGTTATTGGAAACTTGGTATAAATCTCTGGTTGTACTCATGGCGGTTACTTAAGTACAGGTTATGAGGCTGATGCTGTATTCACTGTTTCGAAAAAAAAAAGAATTCAGGACAAAGCTTCTAATCATGCTTATTATTGAACCAAACTGGAATTCACTGGTACCATTGTCATAATATATTTGAAAATTGTATTTGAATCAAACTTGCAATTGTATGAAACTATTTTAAAAGCTGACATTTATTTTAGTGTTTCCCCCAAGCATGTTAAGAATGGATAAACGCCATGCCCTATTTAAATGACGCCATGCCCTTTTTTGTCTTGATACATGAGGCCATGCCCTTTTTTCACTTCTTTGGGTGACGCCATTGTCTCAAAAAAATGCCTTTTCTTCCTGTCTTCATGTTTCTGAGTTTCAAGTTTAGGACCCTCAGCTGATTAACATTTACAACAGGTGTTATAAAGTTGTGATTAAAGTTAATCCGCTTATCTTGCAAAGTTCTACAAGTTCATTTATACTGTGAATCCTGGTTTTAAAAAAGGGGCTCAACTTTTGTTGATCAGAACTCTCCCCTGAAACTAATTGAAGTGAAATTTTGAACTAGATTTTCAGATCTTATATCCTAATCTCCATATTTTGAAACAACACATTTGCTATCTTGAGTTCTAATTCCATCAACAATTGCCAGTCCATACTGCAATATGACAATTTATTGCCTTTCTTGTTTTCAGCATACTGTAGGTGCCCTTTTGTTAATTTTCCATACACTGTAGGTGCCCTTTTTATAAATTTTTGTACGCTGTAGATGCCCTTTTTATGTGATAGGGGAAACACTATTATTTGACTTAAGTTCCCATTTTTTTTCACCCTATGAGTCTCAATATGACATAATTAATAAGGTTTTCCTGCAGATTTACAGATATGGACTTAATTACAAAATTACAAAATGTATTTAAATTTCAAACAGTTTATACTGAAGATGAATACAGCATCGGCCATGTCCGTCCATTGAAGAGGTCCCCTTCATAAATCCTTTCATATTAACCACAAGGTCTATTTAAAAAACGGGCAGGTTTTGAAAATGAATGTAGTATAAACAAGGTTATAGAAAGTGCTCCTGTTGAAGGTCAAATTGTGATTTTAAAGTTCACATGGAATAGCAGCAATTAAAACGGTTCTGATGTGCCATTGTTTTGTCTTTTTGTAATTGCCTGTTGTTTACATGGGTTGCTGGCGGTAATATTTTTTCATATTTTGCTTTAGCATAAATCAGGCTGTACATGTGTAGGTAAGGTTTACTGGTTTGAATCATTTCTCAATTTTTTCATGCAAAATTAAATTGTATCTTGCTTCATGGTATTGGTTTTGCTCATTGTTGAAGCCCACCTTCAAAACTATGATCTAAAATTTTGTCATTTTCAATCATATCACATTTCCTTATTCTTATCATGATTATATTAATGGGATATTACATTTCTAGTCTGTTGGTCTATGCAGAATAATTGTGTCATTTGCAATTTTATCACACTTCCTTAATTTTGGTCTATTATTGCATACTGTTTAAATTTTCAGTAAGTCAAATATTCCAGCCCTGATACATCAGGAATTATTCTGAGGATTCAACACGCATATTCAGTCATGGTAGTTTGTAATTATCCCTTGTTTAAAAGTGTTACCAGGGTACCCTCTTAACAACCTGCCCCCTTCCCCCTTTTATGCATTTTGCCTATATGAAAATAGCCTTGTGATCCAAGTCACTAAGGGTGCACACTTATATAAAAATGTCCAGTGCACCATTTAACATATTAAAGTGCTCATTATACAATTGTTTAATTTCTCAATTCACTATTAAATGTATATTAATGTAACGGTTGTTGATAATAATACAAAGCAGGGTTCATATTCATATATCATTAACATGTTCTAGTCCTAATATGCATGTAATATTTGCCAGTTGACGTTAAACACCTGTCATGAGACTAAAAAAAAAAAAAAATTAAAAAATTTTAAACTTGAAATATACAAGTATAATTTGTAAAATTTAGAACATTGTACATGTATTTCTCAAATCTATTAGCTGTACAGTGACCGATAGCTGCTTACATCCATGTCCTTTTGGTCAATTCAAGATAATCGTATCATTGGCAATCATACCACATCTCCATTTTTTTATATAAGTTAAGTAGGTATGAATTTAAACTTGGTAAAGTTTATTTATATGTAACATTCAAGAATTATTATTTAGTGCACTGGACATTAAAAGTAGTACATTCCCCAGTGATCAAGCAGCTTTTGAGCAATCTCTTTGTCAGCTAACAGACTCTCCCTGTTCTCCTTTCCATCATCTTTTGTTGTCTCCTCTTTCAGGGCAAAATATCTCTTACTGACCTGAATCTGTAGCTTAGAGAAAGATTGATCAAAAGCTGACATGAAAGATTTATGACCGGGGTGTTTTTGCTTCAATTCCCTGTACTTAAGACAGTCATCCACATCTGATGATGGGCCAAGTAGTTGGACAACCAGATCAAATGTTGTCTTCTTTCTACATGATACTGAAGCATAAAAAAGTATATATGTAGTATATTATAATGAGTTTTTAACAAAATTTTATCAATGTAATAATAATTATAATCTATACAAATATCACATAACTTAAAACAATATTGATTAATAACATGCATCATATTAATTCTTTATTTACAATACCAAATTGATTTGAATACAACTCTTTGGAAATTTCATTTCACTTTATACTTTGCTGTACATAAAGTACCAAATTTCGGGTAAAATTACTAATACTTACCAATTTCTTGATTGGAAACCTCAGACTCAAATAGTTTCCTTTTGCATGTTGGTTGTTTCTTGTAATTGTTAGCTGAAATTAAAAATATTTTTTTTTGGAAAACAGTGGTCAACAGCAATCCAACAACATAAAAAAACATAGTCTTTGATATATCAGATCACTATTTAGAATTAGAATATGAAGCTTGTGTAATTACCTGGTAATTTTTTTGGTTTGATGAACAGACTTTCTTGGACATCATTGTTGCATGGTTCTACAGTCCATCTTAAAACTGAAATTAAAACATATTTGTATCTGAATGATGTGGAAATATAGAAATAAGAAGATGTATGATTGCTAATGAGACAACTCTCCACCAAATGACACAGAAGTTTAACTATAGGTCACTCACAATCCTGCCCTCAACAAAGTCTGTTTATTAGATATATCAAATCACTAACCAGAGTGTTTAAATTAATATAAGTATCTTTATAATTATTTAATAATATATGATTGGTACATTATATCATTGTTTGCAATTTGGCAGTAAGTTAAACATGTTAAAGTGAGCATTTTTATTTGAAAACAAAATAAAAAGTAAGCATATGAAAAAAGGGGATGTGAAACATTAAACTTTAATGAGACAGCAACCTAATGACTAAAATAAACAAAAGACATCTTGACAGGAATATTAAGTCTTCAACAGTACAGACTTGTAAATACTATTTTTCAAGTTCTTTACTGTGTGGAGTCTACATGTATACAAGGTGTTTAAAAATTAGATGAATCATTCATATACTGCTGAGGCACAACAACTGTTTTACCTAAAATGATCAGATATGTGGTTATCAAAATTATTTACCTTTAATATATGATTTGTATTTCTCCTTGGTTTCAGTATTTTCCTGTTTTCTCTCGTGGTCTATTGCTGGTACTTCTGGTTGGTCTGTTATAAGAAAATGATGCAATTTTCGTTTATTTAAATAAACATGTACATGTACACTGACCATGAGATTTATTCTTTACAGATGTACAGATGTCTAGCAATGAATATTCACTGGTTTTCAAACAAGAAAGTGAAGGTTGGTGAAAAAGTATTGAATACCTGAATTTGTTGTCTACTAAGGTTACAAACTTTTTTTCAATAAACTTTTAATCTCATTTATATACCTAGGTTGAAGATACCCATGCAGACTTTAAGGACATGAAATTGCCTGTAAACTTGGCAAATATATAATACCAAAAAATGAATTGAATACAACAAAATGAAAGTTGCCCATTTAACAAACATTTTGAACTTTATTTGTCAAACAATCTACATTACCTTGCATAATGGGAATATTCGGAATATAATCTTCTGTTGACTCAGACTTAGAATCTAGAATAAAAGAAATTGGATTGAAAAAATGAATGCAAGTTCTCTTGAAAATATAACATAGTAAAATAATGTTTTAAAAATTAATAAAATCCTTCAAGTTCAATATTCTATTACTTACTCAGGCTAAAAGGCCTTTATTCATGTGAATGCCATACACTGTTCAAATGTAATTTTATTAAATCAAATTGTTGCTGAATAAAAAATATAAATTATTCTAGTTGCTAGTAGGTCATGTATCTTTATAAAAAGTTAAATTTTAAATTCAGCTGGTTGGGTTTTTATTTTTCAGATTGGAAGAAATATGTAGCTTGTTAACAGAAATGAGGCTTCTGAAATGCAAAAAAAAAATCAGGTATATTTTGATACTATGGTTGTAAAAATTGTAAAATAACAAATTACCAATTTTCTCTTCATTCTCTGGTTCATTAATGATCGTGTCATGAGCTTTGACAGTATCTATATCACATGTAGCTGTTTGATCTTCTTCCTCCAAATAATTTTCTATTGAATATGTAATAATAAAGAAAATTATGATTAACAAATTTTAAACTTTGGTTATTTTTAAATAGCCAATTAGACCTCAGATACATTCGAAATAAGAAAATGTTAAATACTATCATCTGCAACACTTTTACTTTTTATACGACCGGAAAAAATTTTGCGGTCGTATATTGGTATGACGTTTGGCGTCATTGTCGTCGTCCGAAAAACACATTGGTTTTCGCACAATAACTTAGTAGTTTAAGTGAATGGATCTCTATGAAGTTTTACCATAAGGTTCAATACCACAAAAGGAAGGTTGGGATTGATTTTGGGGGTTATGGTACCAACAGTTAAGGAATTAGGGGCAAAAAATAAGCATTTTTGTAACTTCTAGACAATAACTTGTGTGTTAGTGTATGGATCTCTCTGACATTGTACCACAAGGTTCCATATCACAAAGGGAATGCTGGAATTGATTTTGGGGGTAATTGCCTCAAAATTTTAGGAATTAGGGGCCAAAAATGGGCAAAAAACAAGCCTTTTTTTTAGTTGCAGGACAATAACTTGTGTGTAAGTGTATTGATTTTGGTCATTTGGTCTCATTGGCAACCATACCACACTTTTTTATTTTAATATTAATTTGAAACAGAAGAATATAAGGAATTTTGAGTTTTGGAGACCTCAGATAAATTGAATAGTTATTTCATGACTGGAGTAGTGAATGTAGAAACAAAACTTAAGTTATTAAGCAATAAATGATATTTTCCTACCTTCAGTTGTGTTGACAGTTACAAAGAATGGATTTCCATCAACATCAAATGCCTTGAGTCTACGTAATGGTAGAATTAGTTGATTTTCCTGGAATTGGGTCATGATAGTCTGCCAAATTACTTTCAGTTTTGCGTTTTCATCTTTCAGGGACGATGATCTGAAGTGGGACAGCTGGGGACCCTGGTTACGGTAACATGGTTCATCAGGGCCGTCATGGAAGATTAAGTTGTTGTTAGTGGAATGCCACCAAATGTCGTTACCAGGAAGTAAAAAGTCTGAAATTCTTTCGAGATGAGCTTGCAGAAGTGTTGGTTGCTTTGAAACGATATGAGCCGGAATTGTAGAATTTGGACGTGGAGCCAGAAGGTGAGCTTGTTTTTGAATTACAGATTCCTGAATGGTAAAGTAGTCGGTTTTTGCAGCTTGCTGACTGTTGAAACGAAGCATAGCATTGTCACAGATGAATTGGGCCTGCCTATTGGTGGTATTTTCTGAAATTCTTCGCAAGTCCCCAAAAATGCGTTCCTCTTGTTCTGTTACAATTGATCTTAAATTAAAAATTCTTAAACATTCTGGTAGATGGACGGTTACACTGTGAAAATGACTTCCAAAAAATTTTCTTTTTGACATTTTTGGGTTAGACGGAATTCCAATAACTATCCTGCAAGTAACAGCAAATAGGAAACATTGATTATAAAGTCTTAGAATCTGTTTTGGTGAACGACATTCATATTTTGAATAGCAAATGTTAGTTATTTCAACGAGGGATTCGATCATCTGGATGGTGTTTTTATCAATCTTCTTTTGTTCATGTAGGTTTGCTGCAAATTTAGCTAATTTAACAAGGTATAGACGTGCATCGGAGCCTTTTATTTGATTCTTGTCTCCTATTGTTGTTTGGGAGAAATTTTGGAACTCTTTTTGTGCTTCTTTATCCTGGATATGGTAGGGAAGTTCGGCTATGATATTCTGGATAACATTTGTCAGGTCATGCAACGGTTCAGTACACAAAATTTCATAACTTGGGATGTTGATAGTTTCAGTTGGAAGATGGGGTTCGGGTATCATCAAAGCTGGTGGTCTGCTAATTCCATGGAGTAGTTGAGTAAGGTCTTCTTGTAGTTGTTTACGGTCTTTATCTGTTGTTTCTATATTCCTCGCTTTTAATTCCTTTACCAGATCGGCTTTTTTAAGATTTTGAAAGGGACTTAAAATGCCTTGCTTCAGTTTTCTAAGACTTGTGGTTGAAGTAGCTAGTTGGCATCTTTCATCTAGACTAAGAGGTTTGATAGAAAAGCATCTCACATAATTGCCATGTTCTACTGCTGGAATGCCACAAAGACAGGAAAAATTACCCCCCCCCCTTTGTTGACCTGATTCAAATTGACGAGCTGGCCCATCCCCACTGAAAACTCTCAAATCATCAAAAACTGTAAGGTTATGGTCATCATGAGTCACACGAGTTGGTAAATGTATTTCTTGTAAATCTTCAAGTCGCGTCCTTGTATACAATGTCTGCTCCTCGTCTGAGCTTCCGGACTGTCCAAAAATATAAAGTTTAGGTCTTTCTACTAATGCTTGGACATTAATGGGCTTTTTGTCGGGATGTTTAAGCTTAAACTTTTGGTCGGTATAGAAGTTAGCCTCATCATATAGAAAAGAAACGGTAAAACAAATGTAGCTGTGGTTCAAAATATCGCTGTGGTCATGCCAAATTTTCAACTTTCTTGTTCTCTCGGTGGATTTCAAAACGGATCTTGTCTGGTCTTCAGATTCAGGTGATGTAAGTCCCAGTTTAAACAGCTTGTCCTTAACTAATTGAAGATCCATTTTGTCATATTCCTCGTCACTTGTATACTTAAATAGACCTTGATGTAACTGGTCTTTAAGGGATTGTTCTCGAATGTAGGTTAATGGCATTTTTCTAGCAAATAGTTGGATGGTTTTTGGTATCAGCTCACCTTCTGGAGAAATTACTGTTGTAATTTTTGTCTTCTCTGCTATCTTGACGCCGATGTAAAGTTCTCCAGATTTTAACTTTCTTTTAACATCCTCTTTGATGGCTTTACCTGTCCTTGGTGTTGGTAGACTGTGCTGTTTATTCCTCATATAAATTGTGTTCTTGGCCCTTCTAATCCTTCTGAGATAGTCTCGTGAGCTTACCTTTTTTTCTTTATTGTGAGTCTGTGTGTTGATGCCCTGCTTCCTTGCGTATTCTAAAATGACTTGACCAGCATTGGCAGGAAACTTACCGTTGATTTGCAAATTGTATTTTTTGGCCATTAGAGTCCAGTTAATATCAGATCCTGATGGTTTGGTTGTCATTTCATTAAGAAAGCCAGTTCTATCGAAGGAGTAGTTTTCAAAATTTCCATGGTGCTTTTTCGATTTCTTCTTACCTGCTGATTCTTGACGGATTAACTTCTCTGTCCTCTCCTCTGCTCTTGTTTTTGATTCATAAAATCCAGCCATTCTGTCCCGATGGTATTGGTTGAAAGATTTTCCAGACGAAAGAAAGTTGGTGACATCATTTCCATCATCCTTCATTACTTCCTCAAATTTCTTTTTGCTTACCGTGACTGCTTTCTTAATTTCCTGTAGATGTTCTGCTGCGGTAATTGCTGAAGGAGATAATGAGTCGGCTAATTTACAGTTGAATTTTATATTGACTTTCTCTTCTATTATTGGTTGAACGATGTTGATGAAAGACTTGGCATTTTTTACTCCTTTCTGTTGTGTCATTGATGTCGGGGATACGGTATTAATAAAATGGTCTGTAGCTGTCTGGCATGTTTCCAAAATTTGACGGGAGTCTTTGTCTAGAGATTTGTGTAGAGAAGACATATCGATATGGATTGATCTGCATGGATTGCATTTTTCAAGCGTATGATTTTGTTTTTCCAATTTTTGAAGGTTGTACCAGTGTTGTAAGCCAAAATAATCCAGAAATAAATTACGTTCTTCAGATTTTCCACCGCTTTTCCAATATTTCTTTTCTGTCAAATATGATTGCAGTCGACTTATCCTTTTTTTGAAGTAATCGTATTCAACATGCATTTTTGGATATCCGTCCATAAACATCATATAGTTCTGGTGCCTTTCCATTAAACTGAAGTTGGATGTGTAAGATTTTTGAATGGAGTTGTCATCAGAGTTGTCGCCAGAGTTGTCGTCAGAGTTGTTGTTCAGAGAATTGTCAGTAAGAATAGGGCGATTGTTGTCAGAATTTTGTTTCTTCCACCATTGCAATGAAGATATGTCCTTTGTTGCCCGTGTCAGAATAACTTTTGCAAAATTACAGATATCCATTCTGGAAAGATTTAACCTAAAAGAAGAGAAGAATTCAGAAAAAAAAGCAAATTGTTCCCATTTGTCATGTTTGTAGGGGAAAACTATAACCATTTATATCTACTTAATTTCAAGTCATGCAGCGTAGGGGGCATTAAATGTTATCCTTGTCCGAATGTACATCCAGAAATTGGTTTCCATTCTCTAACTTTATATATTAAAATAAGTAGATGTGGTATAACGGCCAATGAGACAACAACCCACCCATGTTCAAATGAAGTGGATGAAAGCAATTACAGGCAACTGCACTGCTTTCAATAATGAGAAAAACCTGTTCTGTTAGGCCGACTTGAAGGCCAACATGAAAATTATAAAACAATAAAATTAAGAAAACTAACTGCCTAATTTATAATAAAACAATTGATGAAAAACTAATATAATGAAACTTCTTCACAATACTTATTACCACAAAACTCAGATCAAGTTTGAATTTGGGTTGCGTCACTTTTATTGTTCTCGAGTTATTTCTCTTTATAACGTTATAAAATGTCCCATGGACCACAGTCGCCTGAAAATTTCATAATTGTAGCGAAAAAATGGGGAAAATAAAATATTTTTGTCGAAAAAGCGAGACATAGCGATCCTACATTCCGTCGGCGGCGTCCACAAATATTCACTCTGTGGTTAAAGTTTTTGAAATTTTAATAACTTTCTTAAACTATCCTGGATTTCTATCAAACATGGACAGAAGCTTTTTTTATGATCATAAGATAATATTCAAAAGTAAATTTTTTTAAAAATAAATTCCATATTTTACTTATAAATGGACTAAAGGAGCTACCATTTGATTTTTATGGGGGGCTAGGATGAAAAATTTTGTCCTGCATTTTTTTTTAGTTGTAATCTCTGTCCTGCCTTTTTATTTTTCACTCTATTCGGTCCTGCAATTTTTTTTTTTTAGTTTATCCTGACTTTTTTTTACATAAATTGTCATCCTGCCTTTTTTTTTTACTCAAAACTCCTGTCCTGCCTATTTTTTTTCAAATTTCATCCTAGCCTCCCCCCCCCCCCCCCATAAAAATCAAATGGTAGCTCCCTTAGTTTTTCTGCCAGTTTAACATTACATTCACTCTGTGGTTAAAGTTTTTAAAATTTTAACAACTTTCTTAAATTATCCTTAATTTGTACTAAACTTAGACATAAGCTTGTTTATGATTAAAAGCTAGTATCTAGAAGGAAATTTTGTAAAAATTTTGTTTCATTTTTTCAGTATTTTACTTATAAATGGACTTAGTTTTTCTGCCAGTTAACATTAATACAGTCTACAGTTTAAGTTTCTAAAACATTTATTAGATTTATAAACTATCAAACTTGGACAGAAGCTACTTACAATCAAAAGATAGTATAGTCTATAGAGAGGAATATTTTTATTAATTTTTTTCCTCATTTTTCTTGAGCCTAGGTAAGTAGGCGAGAACCCTTACAAATTTTGAGTAGTATTAACTATTATATAGTATATGCAGGGACACATTATTCATTTATTTTTTACTGAGGTGATGAGCAGCAGCAGAACCTTAAAATGGTTTCTCATTGAGGAAAGTTTATAATTTCTTGGTAAAAATGGTCATGGAATATCTGTTCCAAGTACATAAATGACGCTTTGAAAGGCAATTTTTTATTCAGTAGACGAGACGTCACAGGAAAAAGTAAAAATGGCCTTTTCAAGACGTAAAAACTATTTGCACTACTATGTTCCTAAACCAGTTAATTTAGTCATCATATTGCAGACACAGAAAAAAAAAGAATACAAATAATCTGGAGTTTGTAAGAAAACTCAAAGGCACCATTTATACTAGACCAGCCCCAGATCAGGGATGACTATTTTACAATAGGGAGTTGGTAGGAAGGATTTCTAAAATTTATTACTGCCTGGTTGGAACAAAAAATAAACTTTGCACCAAGCTGCATGAAATAAACACTAAATTTAGGAAACCATGGCCCATGGGTAAGAAAAAAGAGGTGATCAGTTTAGAAAATCCTGAACTAAATGCCATGTCAAAAAACATAGAAAC